GTTGTTTGGTTAATTGCTATTAGAGTCTATGTGAAAGTTTGAAATGATTGAACACTAATATTTTTAATGAAAAAAATGAATAAACCAATTGAAAGAAAGTTATTAAATGTTATATAAGAATGATACATATCTATTAATGAAGGATATAGTGATACATTGAATGAATGATTGAAAGATATCCAAATGAAAATAAATATGCAGAGTGAGAAAAAGAGAGAGAGAGAGAGAGAAAGAGAGAGAGAGAGAAAGTAAAAAAAGAATAAAGAAAGAGAGAAAGACAGAGAAAAAAACGAGAAAAAATGGATTGATTGAATGAAACAGAGGAAACAGATTATTCATCCACTTTGATCATTCTCCACTCTTTGTGATCCCTGAGATACAGTTGCTTGTTGATCCGGTTGTATCCCAGAATCCCTTCAATCCTTGTGCTATACATTTCCGCAATACTGGAAAACATGACCACCTGGCGAGAGAAATTTTGTTTTTTCAGATATGAACTCTTAGACTTTATTATTTTATAATTATATTAGAAAATATGCATTAATGTTAATAAAAATTTATGAAATAATTTAACGAACAGAAATTTAAACTTTAATTTTATAATTAACTTGAAATAATTATACATCAGTGTTTTAGTTTAAATTTTATTAGGCAGATCTGATGAATGCTGAGTTGAATCTTTTCATAATACAAAAGCTTCAATATCCACACACACACATACTACACACACGCACACACACACACGCACACACACGAACACACACACGCACACACATTACACCATCACACACACGAGTTTCACGTGAGAATTTAAGGTTCGAGAACTCTCAGTTTGTGATGGTATTCGTTTGAGCCACTCGAGCTTCTCAATGAAATAATAATTTAAATTAATAATAATAATCATAATAATAATAGTAATAACAATAACAATAACAACAACAACACCAATAATAATAATAATAATAATAATATAATAATAATAATAATAATAATAATGAATGCTATAATTTTTATAAAACTTTTACCCCATCAATTCCCGCCATTCCTTTTTCCCCTCTTTCACCTTTCTGGCCAGGCGGTCCCTGTGGTCCCCTGCTCCCTTGACGGCCATCACGTCCATCTGACGATGATTATGATCATGATGTTGATGATGATGCTGATGATAGTGAGGTTGATAATGGTGATGTGGATCATAGTGAGGATGGTGATGTTGATGATGGTGATGATGATGGTGAAAAGAATGATGGCATGAATTACGATGATGATGATAGTGATGAAAAAAAATTATGGATGATGGTGATGATGACGATGTTGATGATGATGGCAGTGATGATGATGATGACCTTTCCCTGGCAATCCGATTGGCCCAGGCATTCCAGCAAGACATGGAATTCTCTGAATATAACAACAATAATAACAACAACAATAATAATAATAATTATTATTATTATTAATTAATAACAATAATAATAATAATGATAATAATATTATTAATAATAATAACAATAATAATTGTTATTGATATTATTATTATTATTATTATTGTTATATTGATAATAATAATAATAAAAATGTATCCACATACCCTCTCTCTTTTCACTTCTCTATCTCTCTTCATCTTCGCAGTCGTCGTCATTGTAGCTGGTGATAATGACGTAGCAGAAGGTGGTGATGATGATGTTTTAGGTGATGATGTTGATGATTTCGATGAGGATGATAATGACGTCAGAAATGCTTTGCATTCCTTTTCCGTTTTAAATCCATTCAATTTCATGCTCTTCATGTAGCGCTGATTGTAACCATCTTTATCCTGTTTTTGTGTGTGTATGTATGTGTGTACGTGTGTATGTATGTATGTATGTATGTATGTATGTATGTATGGATGTATGTATGTATGTATGTATGTATGGATGTATGGATGTATGTATGTATGTATGTATGTATGTATGTATGTATGTATGTATGTATGTATGTATGTATGTATGTATGTATGTATGTATGTATGTATGTATGTATGTATGTATGTATGTATGTATGTATGTATGTATGTATGTATGTATGTATGTATGTATGTATGTATGTATGTATGT